ATTGTTTCAAATGTTGGATACTGTTCCACACAAGCAAAGATGAAAAAAATAAGTCAGAATTATTTCATACGCTCAATGAAATGAATAATGAAATGATAAGATACTATAAAATTGGAAACTAACAAAAGCATATTTCAATTCCACATACAAAAAATGCTTTAGTAACTATTCCCTAATGTATTTTTTCAGGGAACCTTCCGGATCGTTGGATGGCCCTGTTGGTGAAACAGTGAAGACACGTGTTAGAATCGATGGCTTTGAGGGTTTCGAGTTAGGGTAATTATATTACCAGTATTAAGTACACCGCAATATTATTATTTACTTAAATATCCTTACGTAAAATTACATAATCAGGCTGGTTTTAATATATTCTTTAATTAAATAAAGTTCCCAATTTTAAAGTGAAACTGCAAAATAATTGATGGCTTTGAGGGTTTCGACTTAGGGTAATTATATTACCAGTACAAATTTTATTAAGTACACCGCAATATTATTATTTACTAAAATATCTTTAAGTAAAATTACATAATTAGGCTGGTTTTAATATATTCTTTAATTAAATAAAGTTCCCGATTTTAAAGTGAAACTGCAAAATAATTCCAATTGACTGAATCCAAAGTTCATCCCCTATTCTTTCAATCTCTTGGCTTTTTTATATTTTCCTTCAATAGTCAATTGATTTAAACATCCTACAAGCATTTTCCCCTTATTGGAATTTTTAGTCCCATTGGTTGATGGGTTTTACAGTTTTACGCAGGTATTTTTTAGGGAGAGTGGAAGTGAATAATGATTATTTCAAATAGCTTTCTAATTTCGAATTAATATTTACCCCCCACTTATTTTTTCATTATTTTGTAATCATCAAATTCATTTTACTTCGGCTGTTCATTTCGGAATTTTGGTTATTCATTTTCCTAAAGTTTTTGAAGAAAATAGATTGTAACAGAAATTCTAATATTCAAACAAAAGCCTGAAACTGAATTGGCCTCGATTTTTGTCAGGGTAGCCGTGTTATTATCTGACATGGGGCCCACAAATCTTGAAAATTGGTGGGAAAAAATTGGAAAAATGGGGGCAAAATACACTCTAATTTTCTTTACACCTTGCATGATGTGATGTCTTGGCAGGGATATTTTCCCAAACCAATTTTACGCCCACAGACATTCGTCTCCTCTTCAATTCTTATTCTCCTTCCTCTCCCTCAAGACCGCTCTCTCGATCTCTCTCTCTAAATGAACCCCATCTTCCGTCTACATGTCTGTCTTTGTCCCTCTGTTTCAATGTTTTCCGATTCAGGGGAAAGTATCTTGATTATTATGTGTTTTGAGAGATGGGTTATTTGTTGTTGTTTTTTTTAATTTATTTAAATATCTAATTTCATTTCTTGGGTTTTTCAGGAGGCGCCTCCTCTGGTTTTTCGCGGCCTAATCGCCCGAAACAATTTGGAATTGGTGGGGCGTGCCCGCCGAAGAAGGATCTCCACACATTAACCGAACAGGCTACATAACTAAGAAATAGGAGGAAACCCCTCAAGAATCATACAGCGTACATTTAGGATCAAAACCAACCAAGATAATACTTAAGACATACGCAGGATTAATTCAAAATCAATCAAAACATTTAATTTGCCACATAAATCGTGTTCTAATAAATACATTCAAATATATCTTACAATTCTTCAATCATTAAAATTTCCCACCCCAGAACCAGAACAATTCCAGCTAAATATACTGAATTCCACCACCGAGCCAAAATCAACACCATACGTGCTTTCGGCCAAAGCATTATATATAACTATAAATAGTTCCTAAAGGAATCTTTTCAGCACTTTTTCTAAAATTAATCAATATAGCAGTTCACAAATGGAAGCAATACTCATTACATGTTTATTTAATACGATGAGCAAATGAAGATGTTTATGCAAAGACACAAGTTTTCCATCTATCAGGAATGTGCTCTCCATACAAGCGTTTTCTCTGATTAATCTTTGGAAATTTGTATAATCAACCGCTAGAGAAGCTTAATATTACGGGATTACTTCCTTAATCCTAATTCCACAAAACAAAAAACACTTGTTACTATGAAAATTGAGAATCGTGAACAATAAATGCTCCTCTTGATTTAAACATCTATTCTATAACTTATTTTGAACAGATTCACAGTTCTTATCAGCTAAATTAAGCATTGCATCTATTCAGAGACAAAATTCAATTCTACTCAACAGCATTTCCAGGAACTTTTAATAACTTCTATGCATCTCTAAACTTCACGATATTAGTCCCTTTATTTGTAACGCATAGACAGACTACATACATGACACAAACACACAAAAGCCAACAGCACTGACCTTTTTCAATGCACCTTCAAACCTTCACCACACCAGATTTCAGAGAGACGGATGACGG